GCACCTAGTCCGGAGTCTATTGTCTGCATGATCATTTCCAAAGTTGAACCGTGGACGTGGTACATTCCCAGACGGTTCTAACCAAAGTCACATTCAATCCTTAGGCATACTATGCTCTTTAACTAAAACAGACGTACACCATTACTAAATTCGTTTTCTTGTTTGATCAACTTTTTAATGAATTTCAAATTTACTCTACTTCTTTCATAAAGCAGTTCATAGAATTGCTTTACGGCTGGATTGACAAAAATTATTTCCTAATAACTACCATTTTTCGTTCGATATTTTTGCCGAATCTCATTTCGATTCGTTTCAGTCTTTGTAAAATTAACATTTTCAATCTAACCTGTAGGATATTTCTATTTTGTTTTGACTAGCTCTTTTATAATTAATTTGTTTCAAATTAGTCACCCTGTTTACTGAGTAAATATGCTATCTACATCGCTAATATTATTTTTGATTCCGTTACATTGTTTAATTTTTTATTCCTTGGAAAAACGAACTTATCCTTAATGAATATTTGTGATGAAATTATCTAAATTTTACTTTTTAACGGTGAATTAATGTCGATGCTTCCGATACCAACGCTTAGATATTAATACTGGCCTTTATTTATTTTTATGGTTAAAACTAGTTTTTAGGTCACTTTTTTAACTTTGTACTAACAAATGTAAGATATTACAAAACAAAAGTATGAAAACAGATATAAAATTATTCGAATCTTTAAATGAAATTTGTGCATATAATTTTTAGTAAGGAAAAAATTTCCATACTTTATTAAGATAAACCATTTCAAAGAGAGTTAGCTAAGCGGTAAAGGTAGGATGAAAATTTTTACGAGCACCTTCCCTAGATTCTGAATAAATATACGATGAAACTACCTTCATTAAAAATGCAAATTGTCTTGTTTGTGACTTGAAATATTTGGCTAAATTCACTGATACATCACTCTACTTATAGGTTTTCCATGATTAATTCGTTATCAGAAGTTCATTGTTTCATTGACTTAGTTTTTAGATGTTAAGTCCGAGTCTAGGTTGGGGTCAAAATGCTTCAATTTTCTTGTTCGTTTTACCTTATCAGCCTTCATGGGTCTTGTTCTCTATGCTCTTAGTATAACAATTTTTCTTTGACTTTCAATAATATCTTGAATATCTTCTTATCTCCGCTATCTGTACCATAACTTCTGCAGGATTTTCATGATAAAGACTTTTATAACGTTTTTGTCTTCTAAAATCCTCATTGGGTTTCACATTCGAGTTCTCATGTAGTTTAATATTCCACAATGCTGTTGCTCTTTACTTGTGGTCGAGATATACTTGTTTCTTATTTCTGCTATCGATAAATTGTTTTACATAAACGATACTAATACCATTATTTAGAGTGTCTAAATTTATCAGGGAAAATTATCCGTTATACTTTATTTTTTTATCACTGAAGAAAAAAAATCAGTCTCATTTAATTTCATCCTTATCTATATTCTAATTTTCATTTTGCCGACGTACTTTACTTTTAACGTGATATTGCCTTTCATTTGAACCAAATCATTAATCCGAACGTTTTGTAGGCCTCCTCATTATCTAAAATTCTCTTTCTTTATAATTGAGCTCGATAAGATTTTAGAGATTATGAAATCTCTTTGGAATTAGTTATTTATCCATCTTTTTACATTTGCATTGATAAATAGTAACTCACTGTATTGTTCTTGCCTTGTTTCTAATCCTAATCTCTAGTTCTGCCACCAATAATGGTTCCACGACTTTGCAGTTCTGGCCAAGGGGGCAGTGCATCTGGCCTTGGCCGTAGCATCAGTGGCCGTGGAGGTGGTCGACCACCAGGCTCTTCATCAGCACATCGCCATGCGCATGCCCATACCCATGCCCATGTTCATCCTCATTCGCATGGTCATGGCACCTCTGGCCAGAGTGGAGTTGTTGAAAGCACCCAGCAGGATTACACTCACCCAACGCGCATCCAAACTGGACTTGGCCATCATGGACACCATCTCTTGACAAGCGGGATCTCAAACACTTCCGGGCATCGAACACTTGCCTCGACTGTCACTGCCTCCAATTTTACTCCTTCGTACTCTTCTGGTTACTTGGGAGTAAATTCAGGTCCTGTTTCCGGATCAGCGGCTATCGCCAATATTGCCTCGTTCACTTCCCCTGATCCCGGGAGTGGGCCTACTTCTATCTCACCAACAGCTGGGGGCAGAGGGGCATTTTCCAACACTATTATAATGGACACTAGTTCAGGCACTTCAGGCCCTCCATCTGTCGCATTGGGCGAGGTAAGGTGGTCTTGATTTGAATAAGATTTGAATATTTACGATTATGCATTTTAGAATGTTCTTTGTCAGCAGCCATACTAATATTTACTCGTATCAGTTAGTTTGGCCTT